AAGGTTACGCGTGCTGATGTGGCAGCCGCGCAACGACGATCGGAGGAGGAGAAGGAGGAGGGGGAGGAGGAGGAGGAGGATGACGATGACGAGTAGGAGGAAAAGAAGAAGAAGAAGAAGAAGAAGAAGAAGAAGATGAATAAAATAAAAAGAAAAGAAAATGATCGCGCGTGCTGACGTGGCAGCCGCGCGATGACGAACGTACTTGACAAGAAGGAGGAGATGGAGGAGGTGGAGGAGGCCGAGGAGGACGACGAGGAGAAGGAGTAGGAGGAAAAGTAGTAGCAGAAGAAGAAGAAGAAGAAGAAGAAGAAGAAGAAGAAGAAGAAGAAAATGTTACGAAGAAAAGAAGAAGAAGAAGATTTAAAAAAATAAAAATAAAAAATGTTGACCGTGTTGACGTGGCAGCCGCGGGACGACTGTCGGCATTGATGAGTTGATGAGGAGGAGGGGATGGAGGAGGTGGAGGAGGACGAGGAGGAGGACAAGGAGGAGGAGGAGAAGGACAACAAGGGGGCGCGGGGACTCTCACCTTGCAGCGATGGGCGCCGGCCGTGGCAGCAGCTGGAGCTCGAGACGATGCGAGGGCAGTCTCAAATGATTCAAATTTGAAACTGACCCTTTCCCCCCTGCTCCTCCTCCTGGACCCGATTCCCGCGCCCGGGCCCCCCCCCACACGGACGACCACTGGCACTCAGGCCTTCCGAACCCCAGCCGACGACGGGTACCGGCCCGGGAGGAACCCGTTCGCGGGCCTCGAGAACACGTTCTCGCAAACGTGTTCTCGACCCGTTCGCGTGAACGGACGAAGGCCCGCGAACACGTTCGCCGTGCTACGCAGATGTCAAGAAATCTGAAAACTGAAGGGTCGATAGATTTGATCGCGTTCTTTCCAGGAAAAATATTGAAAAAATAAAATAAAATCATTTAGGCCACGAAATAAATCGCAACGGCATTTCGACACATGTTCAATTTGTGCCACGTCCCTGTTCTCCCCATTGTGCTACCGGTAGCCCTCTTGAACCTATGCTACCGGTCCCCCCGAATTTAGGCCAGCGGGGGGAGTGGTGGTTTAAACCCTTGCCTATATTCGCTGGTCCTCGGCAGAGTGTGTCCATGGACTTCATGGATACTCTTGTGACCAGCAAAAGCGGTTAACATCACATCTTCGTCATTGTGGACAGGTTCAGTAAGTATGCTAGACTAATCACTATGCCTGAGACAGCTAGGACTGACCACGTCATCAAGCTATTCATGGGCAACTGGGTAAGTGACTTCTGTCTCCCCACATCTCTTGTGAGTGACAGGGATGTTAGATTCACTAGCGAACTCAAAGTAGAGCCCAACAGATGGGCCCCCGACTGCAAATGACATCATGGAACCACCCCTGAGTCAAATGGTCAGGCTGAACAAATGAACAGGGTAGTGCAACACTTGCTATGGAATTATATTAAGCCAAGTCAACATGATTGGAATGAGAAGTTACCTCTCATTGCCAGCCTGTACAGCAATGCTGCACATACCACTACCGGTAAGACCCCCAACCAGCTGCATCTTTGTTGGAAGCCCACATCTGCTATTGACTTCCTGTTGCCTGAAAATCAGCCAACTCCAGCACATGGCAGCATAGAGTTTGTTTTCAAGTACGAATAGATGCTCCAGCAGCCCGTTGACCACACCAAGAAATCTCAGGATGCCATGGTATCATCTGAGAACAGACACAGACGACCCTCTGCATTTCAAGTAGGTGAGCGAGCCTGGGCTAAGTCATCTTAGCTGGGACAGGAGCTGGGAATCTCTCGTAAACTAAGGCCACAATATTTCGGACCCTGACAAGTTTTGGATATTGTAGGAGATCAGCCATTGTAGGAGATCAGCCAGATGGTCAATCATACGTTATTTGCATCCCTGGTCACCTCCGTACACACCCTTTTTTCACGCATCCAAACTTGCACCTTTCGCTGAAACCAATCTGTTTCCCTCCACGCGATCAATGTTCCTCCCAACCATGGACGGACACATCGACATTGATGACCTTGTTGAGCACAAGTTGATGCCTATGCAGGGGACACCCTCCGAAGCCGTACATGCAGTATCGGGTGCGGTTCAGACACCATAATGATCCTAAAGAAGATCGGTGGTTCACAAGAGAAGAGTTAATGAAGACTGCCCCCCAAATTGTCTCAAGTTATGAACGAAATTTGAAAGGGAAGCAATGCTCCTCCCAACCATGGACGGACACATCGACATTGATGACCTTGTTGAGCACAAGTTGATGCTTATGCACGTGACGCCCTCCGAAACCGTAGATGCAGTATCGGGTGCGGTTCATACACCATAATGATCCTAAAGAAGATCGGTGGTT